AAAAAAAAAAAAAAAAAAAGGTTCACTTACCGTTTGCACAGTGATTACGTGGTCTTTACCAGTGTCTTTGTAAAAATTTGTCACTCCCTTGATGGCAGTATTATTTGATTCCGTTGCACCGGACGTGAAAACAATCTCACGTGAATCTGCGCCAATTAAATTCGCCACCTGCAAAATTTTCAAACAAAGATAACTTCATTACAGATGCGTCTGATGAGCAAAATTCCACTACGCTAAGTAGAAGAGTCACCTGTGTACGCGCTTTCTCAACTGCTTCCTCCGCTTCCCAACCGTAAAAATGTGTTCTGCTGTGTGGATTCCCGTAAGCACTAATCATATATGGCATCATTGCATCGACAACGCGTGGATCCTGCAAATTTAAAATTACACAGAAACATATAATCGGAACACTTTGCTGGGGAGCTAAAAAAGAAGACTGTCAGAAAAATTAAATTATTCCGAATTTCGCCTCCAAGCTGAATTAAGACCATACGTGAATGGATTATCTACGCATGATACGGGGATACCAGTCCTGACCGGAATTTTACCATCGCAAAATCTTGGGTGCAATTTTATCCGTACTGCTCAACAGTTACGAATGAGAAGAGGTGGTGTACATACTTCAAACAGGCAGTGGGTACTAGTCGGAGGCACGGAACTCAAGATTTATTTTTTGGATGAATTTTCCATTTTTTTTTTTTTGAGTTTTTAATTTTTGTTAAGGATGATTTTCTTCTAATTTTTGAATTTTTGTTATAAATTCCACGATGTTATGAATTTTTAATAAATTCATGCATAGATACATACATACATACATACATACATACACACATATATACATACATACATATATACATACACACACATACACACACACATACACACACACACACACACACACACACACGTAGGTCGCTGTATAACAACAAAACAATTCGCGACTGCCGGAATTAAGCACCAGTTTGCTGGATTTAAGCATTGCTAAAGTAGCCAATTTGAAATTTTAGTCAAATTCGGTGGAATTCTTCAAATTGCCTGTTTCTGGGGCTATGCAAGCAAAAATTACCATTGGAGAAGTGGCCTGCACATCCAAATACAGCGGTCTCAACTGTGGAACTTCGTGTGCTGCTTTTGTTGCAGCTGTCGCTCGCTGCGCGCATCTGCTCAACAAAGTGGTTGCTGCCGAAAGCAAGATTTTCGACGATCCACGAATGCTCTCAACCATCGCGTAACCTGGAAATTAATGCATTACGCGGTAAATTCCCAGTTTTCATGCTACACATTCCACAGGAAGTGCTCCGAGCTAGCTGTGGCGTGAAAGATATTACTGAAGCAATGCACGCCAGCATCGAATAGATGGGCTGGTGATGTGGCACGGATGACAGATAACAGACGGACGAGGTGGATAATGGAATGGTACTCGCGCACGCTCAAGCGAACACTGCGAAGGCCACCAGTGAGGTGGAGAGACCCTATGGTACACCTGTGCTGTACCAATTCGTCTCGGAGAGTGCAAAAACCAGTTGAATGGAGAAGTTGCCAGTGCTGCACTGATGGCGTGACAACGGCGGTCGATGACATACAGCTGCTGCTCAAGTATTCAAGTAAGTAAAAGTCGGTTCCTACCAGGCCTGGGTAAAACTTAGGCCTGGCAGGGTTACATCCAGCGCCTACTCGATAAAATGAAAACTACAGACTGATCAAAATTAACCAAAAGTGGGTAAATATTACTTTACTAATACCTGAAAGCACAGGCGGATCCAGGGTGGTCTCCTGGAGAAGGGGAAGGGGGCGATTTTCTACCTTTGCCACTACTCCTCTATCCCCTGTCGACCAACTGCACCCCTTCCCCTGCTTCCGAAGGTCTCACTACGCTTCCCTCCCGATTTTATCAGTTGAGACTGACAAGGCTCTTGAGGGAGGGAAGGGAGACAGAGGAGTACCAAGCAGACTTTTGTACAGTAAAACAACTAATAACTAAGCTCCCGGGGA